TCCTTCCTTGACTCCCTGTGGTTTGATTAATAGCAGCATTCTGACCTGTCGCTCGATCTGCTATAGCTCCATTGTTGGGATTTCCAATAGTGGCATATTGCCGATTTCCTCCATTTCCATTTTGAAAGTTCTGCTGGTAGCGGGGCTGATTGTCATTGTTCCTACCCCCTTGGTTGTTGTTCCCATTTCGTCCTCCATCTGGTTTTGGTTGTCCTCCTTGAGAGCCTGATTGCTGATTGAATCCCCTGGCAGTACACTGGTGAGCCTTGTGCCCCTTGCCACCACACTGAAAACAAGTTATAAGTTCTCCATTGCACCTCTTCCCAGGGTGTGCCTGCTTGCCGCATACTTTACAAGAGTATGGTTTTGTTCCTTGAACTTGGATCTTGAGTTGATTCTCGCCATAATTACCTCTGTCAGCATACTTCTGTCCCTGTGGTTGTTTGTCACTCCAGTTATTTCCCCTGTTATCATAACGAGGCTTCTTATCACCGCTAACTTGTTGAGGACCACTGCCAAATTGCTTTCTCTTGTTCCTCTCCATGACTTCCTCTTCAGTTTGTAAGATGTCAAAAATGTTCAAAGCTCGTTCATAAGCTTCCTGGAAGGTCTGTGATGGTATACCTCCCAAGGACTTCTGAATTTTGAATGTCAGCCCTTTTTCATACTTACGTGCCCTGTCCCTCTCCGTAGGAATAAGATTTGAAGCAAAACGCGAGAGCTCAATGAACTTGTCAGTGTACTCCTGCACTGTCATCTTTCCTGCCATCCTGAACCTTGCAAACTCTTCCTGTTTCTGCCACTTAATTGCGTCGGGGTAGAATCTATTGCGGACTCGTTCCTTGAAAATCTCCCAGTTAAATCCTTCTTCAGCTATGTAGCCCGTCTTCACCGTGGACCACCAACTATCCGCCTCCTCTTTCAGATAAAATGAGCCAATGCTAATCTTCATGTTCTCGGGACAATTTGTCACTTCATACAGCTTTTCCATGTCGCGAATCCAATTTTCAAGAGCAACTGGATCGATAGTCCCTTTGTAAGTGGGTGGATGATGAGATGCCACTCTCTTAAAAATGGTATTCTCGGCATTAGCCTGATGGGCGTTTTGTTGTCCAAGTGCTAATGCAAGATCTTCAATAGCCCTCAGACGTCGGTCCATTTCTTCAGCAACAGCGTTGTTTGCAGCCATTCTAGTGTTACGACGGGTATAGTACCTGATCGTATGTTTTTTTTTTTTAAATTCTAAGGGTTTGAATTTATTCTCATAGTCAACTCTAACTATCACTTTCCTCATCTCATATATTTGTATTATGTATCAGATAATGCAATTCAAACAATAAACCAATTTATTTAAATACATAAATAATAAGAATTTCATCATTCATCATTCTTCAAAGAAAGAAAAAAAAATCACATCTAGAAGAAACCCTTTTAGCCTGTAGAAAATTCTATTCATTTGCTAAAATAAAATTACAAGTCAATAAATCACATAACAAGTCACAAAATAATTTCAAACATGCAATTATTAGAATTTCAAATAAATCTTATTTAAAGGACAAGAAAATAACCCTTCACTACCCATCTCTCACGTTTAATTTTTTTTATTTTATTTCAATTTATTTTATTATTTATGTTCTTATTTATTTATTTAACTGTGGGATCTTTGATCCCTTGAGTTAGTATCAAAAGTGAACCCAAGTTAAACTCAGGGCTCTGATACCATTTTGTAACACCCCAAATTCTAACAATTGATAATAGCATAAATAATTTCAATAATTTTTGTAAATAACAGCGGAAGTTCAAAATAATCAAATTTGGAAAGTGTTACTGCCGCACTTGTACTATGGACAGGTGCAAGGCTAAATTTATTACATTAAAAATAAAACCAAAGACTAAAGTTTAAATAAAGGAAATATGTCTTATGCATTTATTTAAATCTCATAAAATTTCTAAACTTAGAAACTAGCTAGAAATATAATATCCGAGTCGTGATCCTCGCTGCCCACAGCTAGCCCCATCCTTTGCAACATGCTTCACTGAAAATCTGCTCCCCGTGAAGGATCATTGCAGTTAAACAAACACAAAAGTCAGCAAAGCTGGTAATCCAAATCCGATATACAAAAATAAATAAATAAACAAAAAGGATGTAACTCATGATAATCCAATAAAATAATATAACTCAAAAATTCGAATCAAATGTCAACTTGTTATTAATTATATTAATATTTATTTAATCCATTTAGTCTATTTAGTGGGAAGAGAACCATGGTAGACCCGGGGAACCCTGCCAGTCTACCCTGTGACCCGGGAAACCCTGCCAGTCACAAACAAATCACTTTGGCCATAATCAATTCACATCTTCCTAGTGTGCACACCTCTTCCCAAAGTTGCTACTAGTATCCCGGGGAACCCTGCCAGACACCACTTTGGGAAGAACGGATATAATCATTTTCACATCAGTTTCACATCGGAGGCATAAAGCCCAAAAGTTGTGTTCATCACTTTGGGAGGTACCATCCCAAAGCTATCCTCCCACTATTAATTTTTTTTTTTATACAAACATAACAAAATTCCTCAATTTATTTCAAATATATGTAATATCTATTTTTTTGCAACTAACAATTAATTTCTAATTTATCAAAACATATATATATTTTAGTGCCTCAATTTATAAAATAAAGCACAGGATTCAAAAGAAACAATTGTAACTAACAACATATACTGAAAGCATGTATTTGAAATAGGTTGATCACGTAAACCGAGAAAAATAACATTGCAAATATATGCATATAACTAATTTGCAAATTGAAAGAAACGATCAGCAACTACTTTAATGGAAAGTGACGCACAAAAATCGAGAAGGAGTTTTTTTTTGTTTTTGTTTTGTGAACAATGTTTATATATATAAAACCAACAACCATTACCATTGAATTCAATTAAAGAATTGCACATAAAACGAAAACGAAAGAAATTTGCAGTGAAGGTATATATGCAGTTCCGAGTTCGGCAGAAGCAAATTGAGGAAACATTTGTAATCGAATATATATATGCAGATAGTAATTATCAACAAAAATTGAATTTATAACGAACGTAATTATATATACAGGTCAACATAATTATTTGGGATTAGGATTACATACAATATTTTTCATATAAGACAACCCTATGATATATTTAGGATCATAATTACCCTATCAAAATTCATATAAAATTAACCTAAGACTTCTAAGGATTAGGATTACACATACCAAATTTGACATAAAATATAATCTAAAAATACCTAGGGATTAGGATTACCTGGTCTCCGTTTTCGCTAACTTTTAGAAGAAAAGAGTAATTTGGGGCAGAGAACCGGTTGATAAAAAATATAAAGATTGAAAATAATTAAAATAAACTTTTTGGAGTGAGAAGAGAAAAAGAGTAGTAGAGAAGAGTGAATTGGTTTGGTTAGGCTAGGTCTCTATTTATAGTTGAAGTTTAGGACTTATACATTACTGACTCAATGCTGACTCATCATATCTAAACAATTTATGTTTGTTGAGTCATCATATCTAAACAATTTATGTTTGTTAAGTCATCATATCTAAACAATTTATGTTTGTTGAGTCATCATATCTAAACAATTTATGTTTGTTGAGTCATCATATCTAAACAATTTATGTTTGTTGACTCATCCTAATCCAATCAAACATTACCAATCAAATAATCAAACATTAAAGCATAATGATCAATTAAATAATAACAATTTATCACCCATTATTATTATTACTAATTTATAATTTATTACTATTATTAATTTATTGTATTATAAATTACTATTATTTTTTCTGAAAAGTGATTTTTTTTCTAAAAAAATAATTTTTGAAGAAAAAAATTCATCCAAACGAACCCATACAAATAAACTTTGTAGTAGAAGGTTTTTTTTTTTTTTTTTTGAAAAAATAGCTTTTGGTTAAAAAAAGATCGTCCAAACGAGCTATTAAGTATGAGTGTTTATCAACCGATCCAAACCGCAGTGACCAAATCGAAAAATCGATAACCAAATAAATCGAAAATCGAAAAAAATCGCAAATTTTAATTGGATTAGATCGGTTTTCGGATTGGTTGATGAAAACTGATCCAATATATTAATTCCCCTCTATCTACTTGGGTATTTCCCCAATCATAGCTCAAAAATTTCTAAACCCAAGATCCATTAAGCCATCAACTAAACCCAAGAAAAAACCTAGTCACATCTCATCAACAAAATTTTATCATCTGTGTAGAGCTTCATGTCTCATTACAAAAAAAAAAACTATATTATCGTTTACTGATGTTTTTGTATTTCAATTTTTTTTACAAAGCCAATATATACAAAAGATATTATTTTCATAATAATCATGAAATAAATTTTAGGATTTTCAAAACACCGAAAATTGATCCAATGCAAACGAAAAAAAATTAGATTGGATCGGATCGAATTTGAATAAAAATCCAAACCAAAAGGATTGGATCAGATGATTTTTGCTTTCAAAATCGATTCAATCCAGACCGTGAACACACTATGATGTTAATGGCATATGTCATTCTTGGTTTTATTTTAATTTTAATTTTTTTAAAAATAATTACATATAATTTTTAATATTTCTAATATTATGATATTGAATATTTCTTGACATATTGTTCTTTTAATTTATATTTTTTAAATTTTTATTTAAATTTATAAATATCAAAATAATGGCGAGTAAACCCTATCATAACCCCAACACCAAACTAATGACTAACAACGGTGTAGAACGAAAGTGTCTGATTCAAACACTGTTGCTCTTGTTATCAAAAAAAAAAAAAAAAAAAAAAAAACACTGTTGCTCTCGCTTTCACATAGACATATCCCAAAGGCTTTCTTTTCTTCTTCCTTTTTTTGGAGCCCCTATCATTCACCCCAAAATAACAAAAACAAAAAATTAGACATATGCGAATCTTATTTCTATCTTCTCATCTTTTCACCTTCTCATTGCTCTGCAAATTCACACCTCTCTCTCTCTCTCTCTACTAATCTTTCTTGAACCCCATTTCCTTATTCAATAGCCAGAACTCAGTGTTCCGCTTCAATGGCCTCGATTCCTGTTTTTGGTGCCACAACACACACAAAGCCAAAGCTTCAAGCTTTAACCTTCCAACCTCTCTTGCGTTCTCGAGCTTCGTTTTCAGTCTCGAGGGTTCAAAGGGGCTCAAAGGGTGGTGCCATATCGAGTTTCACGTGTTCCACTTCGCAGTTCAAGGGAAGAGCTGGGTTCCACCGTAGACAAGAGAAGTTTTCGTTGCTTCCGTTTGGGGTTGAGGGAAGTGCTGTTGCTGAAGTGGAAGAAAGAGATTGGTCTCAGGTTTTGTCTGCATTGCTTCCTTTTGTTGTTGCTGCCACTGCCGTTGCTGCTCTTGCTCAACCTTCCACTTTTACATGGTGGGGTTGTCTTGACTTTTTGTTTTGGTTCATCTTTTGGAAGACTTTTCTATTTATTTAATTTAATTTTTTCTACTTCTTGGTCTTGGTTACTGTTTATTTTTTATTTTTTATTCTATCTATTAAGATTTAAGGGTAGGGATTTATTTTAAATAAAAAATTGCATAGAACAACTTGGTATTTTCTTATTGTTATTATTCTTGTTTCCAGCTGATTGTGCTTATTGTTATAACCCTTTTTATTAAAATGGCATTTGATTTTTTATTTTTTATATGTACTTCTGGTTGAAAGGTTTCTTAATTATAACGTGTTTGATTAAAGGCTTGTAGGGGAATATTAGGCACCTTTTGTTATTGTACTCTCGCTTACCATTTTTTGTGGATATATTACTGAACAAAAGTTATTCTACTTTATTTTATTTTTTTGGTTGCTCTTTTCTGTTAAGAATTTGTAATTCTTTCATTCTGTCGGGGGGCTATTTAGAACGGAATAGTATAGAAATGGAAGAACTGAAAGCTGTTAACTTGTCCAGGGTTTCTAAAGAGTTATATGCTCCTGCACTTGGTGGGATTATGTTGTCCATTGGAATCAAATTATCCATACATGATTTTGCTCTTGCATTTAAAAGGTGTGACTTTCATTACTACTTTATTTATTTTCTGCTTAAATTTGAGTATGTGAAGCCATGGAACTTCTTCCAACATTCATTATTTTCTTTCTGTTGCAGACCTATACCACTTTCCCTTGGGTTTATTGCGCAGTATTTGCTGAAACCTACTGTTGGGGTCTTGATTGCAAAGGCCTTTGGCATATCGAAAATGTTCTATGCAGGCTTTATCCTCACAGCTTGTGTTTCTGGGGCTCAGCTATCTAGCTATGCAAGCTTTTTAAGCAAAGGGGATGTACCCATAAGCATTCTTCTCACAAGCTATACCACTATTGCATCAGTTATTGTTACACCTTTGTTAACTGGTCTTCTGATTGGATCAGTGGTGCCAGTTGATGCAGTTGCCATGTCAAAGTCAATACTACAGGTAATTAGCGAGTGCTTCTACAATATTCTTACCCGAATTCGATTTGATGACAGCTTTTGCTATAAATATTCAACAGGTTGTTTTCGTTCCAGTTTCGTTTGGTCTTCTTCTCAATACATATGCAAAGCCAGTTGTATCTGTTCTTCAACCTGTGATGCCCTTTGTTGCTATGATATGTACTTCATTGTGCATTGGCAGCCCTCTTGCTATAAACCGGAGTCAAATTTTGTCAGGAGAAGGTCTCCAATTGGTTTTTCCAGTATTAACATTTCATGTTGTTGCCTTCACTTTAGGATATTGGATCTCAAACATTCCATCCTTGAGGTATGCTCAGTTTTAAAAGTAGATTACAAAATATATCTAAATTATATTGCATAAATCCAGAATATTTGTTAATTTGTTCATTTGGGATAAAGGTGTTATTGATATTGACGTTGATATTGATTCTTTGGTAACTAGTTAGTAATTATAGCTGATATTTTTACGAGTGTGGCCATCTGAGCCTCTAATTGGTGTCATATATTGATATGCCTTGAATTAAGATTGAAATTGACAACACAGATATGTTTAGAGAAAGAGTGTTATGATCCAATTGTAAGGTATGGGAGTTGGAGTCCCATATCAGGAACACAAGGTTCTGGTGCGGGGTTTATATGGACTTTGGGCTCTCCTACCTTACAAGCTAGCTTTTGGGGTGAGGCTCTTCCAAAGTTCATATCAATTGGTATCAGAGCTTCCACTATGTCTCCCAGTTGCAATAGAGCAGCGCGACTGTTGATGCTGGCATTGTAGTATTCGCTAGGGCTAATAAAAACCTAGCGCCAAGCCAGGGTGCTGAGACTGCGAAGCATGGTGGGATGTTACGATTCAGTTATAAGGTATGAGCCATGGAGTCCCACATTGGAAACATAAGGTTCTTGTGTAGGATTTATATGGACTTTGGGCTCTCCTACCTTACAAGCTAGCTTTTGGGGGCGAGCCTCTCCTAAAGTTCATATTAAAGAGCTTTTAGGTTAAATCCTTTCCAACAACATATTGTACTTGGTTATATCTATTGACTGACTGGTTTGTTTTATTTTCATTACCTGTTCCATATTGAAATGATAACGATGCATAAAAGTGATCTATTTCTCCAATAGGAAAAAATATTATATTTCTGACCGAGATTGATTGCTTTGATCTAACTTTGGAATGTGTCATCTAGCATAATTTTCCTTGCAATACTTTTTGTTTGTAAGTTGGTTGACGAAAACACTTATAAAGAATATCTTATTATCTGTGCCATATTTCAAAATATCTGATATAAATACTATCACAGGCAGGAAGAACAGGTGAGCAGGACAATTTCATTATGCACTGGAATGCAGAGCTCCACCCTTGCAGGCCTTCTTGCAACCCAGTTTTTGGGAAGTAGTCAGGCAGTTCCACCAGCATGTTCTGTTATTGCTATGGCTATAATGGGTCTCTGTCTTGCCTCTTTTTGGGGAAATGGCTTTAGAATTAGAAACCTACTGTCATTACCTACTCTCAAGAATCAATGCTGCTGTTAAGGCTTAACTTTTTTGGTTCTGATGCGTGTTATTTGAGGCTTATTTGTTATCATCTGTTGGGAGGCTGGAAGCTGGATAAATTTAATCTCATGGTATTAATAGAGATGGCTAGGAAGGGTAGATATATAAGACAATTTCAAGTGTACAGGTTAGTTACATATAAACCAGGCAAGAAAAAGGTTTCATGAGTAACATTATATACATAATGATCAGAGAAAAAATTACATAGTAATGGAGATATAGATTCACGTATGAGTATCTATTATCTAGCTGCAAATTAATACATTTCTGTACATAGACTCAAAGTATATTACAGATGACATACCAATTATAAGATGTCTCTCTCTCTCTCTCTCTCTCTCTCTCTCTGTGTGTGTGTTATTGCGAACTGTCTGCGTTTCTGGATTTGGAAAATTTATTCTTCCATAGTCTGTATGAACCTTGGAGGGCGAGTCCCCTAGAGGTGGCAATATGGATTAAATCCGTCGCGGGTATACATTTTAACTCACCAATTTGCCCCACTTAGTTGTGGGTCAAAAAGGGTTGGTGGCATGGCAGGACGGGTTGGCCGCGGGTCAACTCTTTTTTTTAACTATTAGATAACATTTTATTTGTCATTAAGCTTTTGTGTTATAATTTTTATTTTATCTTAGTACTCCCCTAAAAAAAATAAAGAGGAAAAATTTTATTTATGACAAAGATTATTCATATACGAAGACAAAAATAAGTTCCTAGGGATACCAAAAAAAAAAAAACAAGTTCCTAAAAAATATTTGATTAAATATTAACTTATATTTAGGTTTGAGATTGAAAAAAAAATAAGGGGAGCATGAAATAAAAATAAGTAATATTAAAAAATTTATTAAAATATAATTTATTATTATTTTTTATTTTTTAGGCGGGTTGACTTATCAACCCATCTCAAAACGAAGTGGGTTGATATTTTCAACTCATTATCGAATGATAGGTCCTGTCCTGTCTTGTTTTTGACAGATTCAAGATGGGTCAAAGAGGGTGGAGACGGATTGACCAATTTTGTCAGCTCTATGTCTGGAGCAGTATGAACCTTATACATGGAAGAAACCACCACTGTACATTTCCAGCCAATCACTTTAGAGTTCTAGTCCTTTCTATACCACTTACTCCCTCTGAGTCTATAGATTAATCCATTAGTCCCGTACTGTGACTGAACATTTGTAATTAAGGAAGGAAAATTTTTAAAATAATGAGAAAATGAGATTAAGCATTTGATTTATTCGCGTTTGGTACGAGGATCGTAAATTTTTTTCTGAAAAAGTGGGATTTTTGAGATTCATATTTATAAAGAAAAATTATATTTTAAAATATCACCAAATGTGTGGTATTTTAAGAACCTTATGTGATGGGAATATTTGATAATTTTTTTGAGACATAATTAATAATATTTTACAGTCAACCAATCATAATATCAAGAAAATTAACTCAACATTTTTATGAATATTTTGACCTATCAAACAATTTTTTAGTAATATTATTAAAAAAATTCATTTTTTCACTATATTTTTAGCAATTGTGATTTTCGGGTAAAAAAAAAATTTCTCCTAATAAAAGTAGCATTAATATACTCCTAATATAGGTAGGGAGGCTGCAAAAGTGTGACCGGGACAGGTGGTGTAAAAATTTCATTTTGTAAGCCACCAAGATTAGGGTTAGTGGTGAGAGGTTTGAATAATCTGCATGAAATTATAGGTTCAAACCTCAGTATCATTATTGTATAAAATAAAATAAAAAATTCATTTTGTTTGCTGTACAGTTTTCCTTTGAGACTATTAACTCACTGGCAGAGCTATAAAAAGCTTGTAGTGGAATTTTAATAGGTGACCTTTTGCAAAGTATCTCACATAGTTTGCGGCAGGTGGAAGTTAAGCTGTGAATGGAAGTAGCACTTAATGCATATCAAGATTAGTTTATTTTGTGTTGAAGACATCTTATGATTAAAAGCTTTTTAAAAGCGCCTACAAAACGGGTTTTTCTTTTCTTTTCTTATGATTTAGCATGTCCAAACATGCTATAATAGTTGAGCCACAAGGAACCGTTTTGAATTCTTAATGAGATTATTAAGACCTGTACAATTGGACAGAAACAACACAGCTGTTAAGATCACCAACACACGGGACAGAAATCATATTCTATTACTTGTTTATGTTGCTGATATTTTGTTGCAACTGCTTCGAATATGTTTTGCTTGCACTTGATTTTCTCAGCATTCTTTTATGACAAACACTTGTTTTTTTTTTTTTTCTACTTTAGAACATATTGGCAAAATGGGTTAACCCACCCTGCCCCATTTTGAGGTGGACTGACATGTCAACTCATCTAAAAAAATAAAACATAAAAAAATAAATATATTGATGTTAATCTTTTATTTCTAATAATATTTAGATATTTTTAAAGTTTAAAAAAAAAATCAAGCAATAAGTCAAAAAAATGAAAGAATAATTTAAGGAAAAAATATTTGTCCTTTTAAAGGATATAACTTTGTGTCATTTTAGATCTTAACCATTGATTTCCGTCAATTAACGGTTAGGATTGATTGGATAAATACGAATTAATAATTAATTAATAAATTTGATCCAATAAATCCTAACCATTAATTGATGGAAATCAACACTTAGGATCTAAAATGATCCAAAGTTATATCTTTTAAAAGGACAAACATTTTTCCTATAATTTCATTTAACATATTTATACAAATCATACTTTAAAATTATGTTATTATATAACAAAATAAGGACATCAAGCATGCAAATATTTGCAAATGAAGACATCATTGCATCCGTAAGGAGAATTTCATGAGCATCTAATTTCGTTTGTATACATACTAGCATTTAAATCCAAAAACAGGCTTAAGTTCCTTTTATTTATTTTTTTGTGTTAATTTTTTTTTCTGTCTAATTAAAAGTGAATAAAAAATAATGTTTCCATAAAATAATAGCATCATGGCCATAAAAGAAATGAAATAGGTGTTTTTTTATTTTATTTTATTTTTTGTTTTGAAAGTTAAAAGTCAAAACACAAAACAAAAACAACTTAGATATATTCTCTAAATTTGATTCTAAAAAAAAATAGTAACAATTTTTAAATTTTTTTTTACAAATCAGGCTTTATCAAACAGATTTTTTTATTTTTTTGTTTTGAAAATAAAAATAAAAATAAAATAGATTTCAAACATGCCCTACGGGTTGAGAAACACATAAACACGAGAATGGAGACTAACCTTCCTTACTTTGCAATATATTATCAAGGGTCATTTTCTCGTGTTTTAGGTAAGAATATTGGGCATGTGGAGACTAACCTCCACTACTTTGCAATATATTAACAAGGGCCATTTTCTCGTGTTTAGGGGTAAGAATGTTGGGCCTGCAGGGAGAGTTTGTGGCCGCGGGGGTGGGGAGATTGCCAACCATGGACCAATGGGCAGCAATATTAAATGGGCTTGGAACATCACAATCAAACTCAAAACCTTAAGGCATTAGGTGCATAGATCCTTCAACTTATATGGTGCTCATTTAATCTTTTTTCAACCAATGTGGGACTACATTCAATCATTCACACTTAGATTCCTAAACAAAGAAAGGTTGAGAAACACATAAACACAAAAATAAAGTAACATTTTCAATATGTGCTATATTATAGAGACTTAATGATCAAGGAACACAAAAAATTCTGTGTGTAAATTGTAAAATGGCTAAACTATAAGATTAAAGTGTATTTTACCCACAAAGATAACTATCTACCACTTCATTTTTACCTCCTTTCCACCCTCCTAAACTTGACTCATTGTCCAATGAATAATCACATATTCCAAAATATCTTTTCATTTACATTTTTTTTGAAACATAAGGTAAATAATCAAGAAAACAAAAATAAAGGCCTAATTACGAACCCCGCTGAACTAAATCACTACAACCCTCTTTAGCATGCTCGAAGGTGAGCAATTCTCGGTAAATAATATAAGCATATTGTTCTGGACCCATTCCATGGCCCATATCTTAAAAACACAACAATAAGTGATAGAGTAAAGAGCTAAGGATAATCTCATCATCTTGTTATCAAAGGATAAACTACTTATCTTATCCCTTAATAATCACAACCTTATCAGGACTCTACACCTACAGGTAAATCCCTTCTATAAATAAAAAGTTAAGCCTTTCAGGTACAGATTCTGAATTCCCTACTATTTTTTCTATCACTGTGCATACACACCACGCATTTAGCGATATGCCATTATTATTATTATGCACAATGATTTGTTACCCCTTGTGGTGTCTCTTCCATAGACTCTAGAGAGCGTACTGATCCAAGATACAAATACCAACCACCGGTTGGACATGTTCAATTCTCCAGGATCGAACATTGGCGCCATTTGTGGGAAATCGGTAAACTTTGATCCTACACAGTCACGATGAACACTTAAAGCGCAACAGCAAACATTGAAAACCACATGAAGAGTGGACTTCGCAATTGCAGCTATGGATTGTCAATGTCTTTATGTTGCCAAGGACTGTATAAAGGTTCTTCGAAAGAGGTTCACAAAGAGAAAAAAAATGTTAGCAGGATGAAGGCTACGTTGCTCTAAGCAAAAGTGTCATGGGAACTAGCAAGAAAGGTGTACATGAGCTTTTTAGAGGATAATCTTTTTAGTCAAACCATTCATAAAAGGAAGGTGGCCCGACCAAGGGCTCCAAGGTCAAGAGCCTGACTAAGGGCTTCAAGTTTAATAGTTCGGCCACGGCCTAAAACTTTAACTCTGCCCAGCCAAGGGCTCCAAGTTTATCAGCTCGACCACGGTCTTGAGCTTCAACTCAGCCCAACCAATGGTTTCAAGATTGTCAGCTTGGCCATGACCTTGAGTTTCAACTCAACCTGGCCAAGGGCTCCAAGTTTAATAGCCCGGCCAAGGGCTTCACGTTTATCAGCTTGGCCACGGCCTTGAGCTTCATCTCAGCCCGACCAAGGGCTTTAAGTTTATCAACTCGACCACGACCTTGAGCTTCAACTCAGCCTAACCAAGGACTTCAAGATTATCAGCTCAGCCATGACGTCGAGCTTCAAACCAGGTCAAGGGCTTCATGATTACCCGCCTGGTCACGACCTCAAGCTTCAACTTAGCCCAGTCAAGGACTCCAAGTTTAACAGCCCAGACAAGGACTCCATATTTATCAGCTCGGCCACGGCCTCAAGCCTAATCTCAACCCGACCAAGGGCTTCAAGTTTATCAGTTTGGTCATGACCTTGAGCTTCAACTCAGCCCAACCAAGGGCTTTAAGATTATCAGCTCAGC